CATAATTATAATAATTATCGTACAAGGTCAGCCTTTGCTATAATTCTTGCCTTTGTCGTTGTTTGTGTGTGTATTTTTTGTGAGTATATTTTGCCTCTGTCTGTTTAGTATTTGTTTTTAATTTCATCTTTTTTCAAATTAATTTTGCAAAGTGTCCTTATATGCGCTAACTATTTTCTCAACAGTTCGTGTTATTTATTTTTTCAATTCTAACATAGGTTGTGCGTTGGCGTTTGGAATGGGAGCTGATTCGAGGAAAATCCCAAACTCAGCGATAACTGCGTCTTCAACGTGGGGTTCTCAGAACCACGAGGCTTGGAGAGGACGACTTAATAACTACCCCACATCTGGTGATGCTGGATGTTGGGCAGCAGCGTCTTCTACCGTAGGAGAGTACTTACAGGTTGACTTGGGTCACGTGGTATACGTTACCATGGTAGCAACACAAGGGAGGCCAACCGCTGTCGTGCAGTATGTTAAAAAATACAGCCTGGCTTATAAAAATAGCGACAATTYGTTTGTGGATTACAAAATAGCAAACACTGTAAAGGTGAGTTGAAATATATGTCTTCACACTCACTGGTCAGTGAGTAACCTCARTATGGACCAACCAACACCAATTAATACCTGTCTGTCTGTCTGTGAATCAGCCGCTCAATAAGCCAATGTAGCCCTCGAACCATAGACAACCACTAAACCAGCAAACCTATCCACCTCTCGATTTAAAACGTAATAAGGCGAGAGAAAGAATATATAAACCTGTATTTTCAAGTTTATCGCTATCGAACCCTATAACAACCTCCGGGTTGATCTAAATCAGCGCACGGCTAACTCAGAGATCTAACCCTGAAACAACCGTACCTCTGGGCTATCTAAGTCAGGGCACGGCTAACTCACAGATGAAGCCCTGGAACAACCTGGGCTGATCCCCGGGGATAATCTAAGTCAGATCACGGATAGCTCAAAGACGATTGATTCTTGAAACAACCTCTGGGCTGATCAAAGTCAGGGCACGGCTAACTCACAGATCAAACCCTGAAACAACCATCTGGGCTAAGTCAGATCATAGTTACCAAAATCAAGGGAGAGACCTAACAAATTCAACRCACTCCGGGATACCAAGTACAGGAATTCAAGCCAGAGACACCAGAGGAGAGTGTCGAGTTACCCTACGAGCAAAGGATTTTCTCCCCTGACCTAAAGTCAGAACAGGGGACAGAAAACGACCTCTACAAGCAGGGTAGAGTACTTGCAAGTGTACTACACCGCTACCCCGCTAACTCACAGATCGAATCCTGAATCAACCCGTTTCATTGTTATTTAAACTACGACAAACTGAAACAATCTATGGCAAGCTCTCGGCTGATATAAGTAGGGGCAATTCTATTTCACGGATCAAAGTATGMTTTTTTTCAATTAGTGGGATCTTTAAAATGTATTAGGTTTTGCGGATGGAGTAAGACCGGAGAGCCGGGATAAAAGCCCTCGAAAGACTAAGAGAAGACACAGTGAGCTTCTGCTGTAATTTGCTAATAACCAAATTGCTTTTGATTAGATCTTTCAGGCGAACACTGACGCGACAACGATCGTAACCCACAGGCTTCCCGAAAAGATAAAATCCCAGTACATCAGATTTGTTGTCCGAGAATGGTATTCCAGTGTTGCAATGAGAGCCGAAGTCTATGGATGCCAAATTCCTATCTAAATGGAACCCCAGTGGATGCAGTGAGCAGTAGTTTCTTGGTGAATGAGTGGTGAATTTTATGCACTAGTCTTTACAACAGTAAAACGTTTACAATCGCTCCCTTTTGTTTTTCAAGGCTTTGTAAGGTTTAGTTTCGTATATGAGTCTTCCTTATTCTTCGTTTGCACGTTACGGCATCGCGGCCATGTTGGTACCATTTAACAAAAAATTTCTCATTAACATCCATTGTTAACGGTACCACAATGGCCGCCATGTTTTTGTTTTTTAATCCTCTTGGGAATGCTTGCAACCCATCAATAGTTATGAAAGTCGGTTTTTTTGTGATCTCACTTCAATAAACTGTTTGACGCCATTCACCATTTTCCATACATCGGTTCACTGGTCAAACACAAAGCATTCAGTCGAGGTTGCAAGGATCAAATTTGAATAATCCTTTGAAAGTACCTTGG